GATTCCCTTGCAGAGTGTTAAAATTTCTTAAGTGTTGGGGCGCCTGGGTGGCTCAGTCGGTTAAGTGGCCGACTTCCGCTCGGGTCATGATTTCGTGGTCTGCGAGTTCGAGCCCCGCGTCGGGCTCTGTGCTGACAGCTCAGAGCCTGGAGCCTGTTTCAGATTCTGTGTCTCCCTTTCTCTGACCCTCCCCCGTTCGTGCTCTGTCTCTCTCTGTCTCAAAAATAAATAAAGGGTAAAAAAAAAAATTAAAAAAAAAATTTCTTAAGTGTTGATAGGAGGCAAGGATTCTGCAGGCCAGGCAGGGTGTTGGGAAATGGGAATATAATGTCACTTAAGAGGGAAAGTGACAAAACCACCCGGTTAAGAGTTCTGGGATTTCACTTGCAAATTTACAAGGGGGAGTAGGGAGGGTTGGGGAAGGCTTCCTGGAAGAGGAAGTCCAGTCCCAAAAGATGAGATGGGATTGGTCAGGTGAAGAGGAGGATGGGAAAAATGGCTTTCATTTGAGGCAACTGCATTCAAGGCAACTGTAATGTGCACAAAAACTTAGGAGGCCAGAGCACGCTTGGCTCCGGGGAATTAAAAGTTGCTTCTGGAGAACGGAAGAGGGCGAAGAGACTGAGAACTCAGAATTTTCTAGGCACCAGCTCATTAAGCACAGAATATTTGGTTGTGTAAATTCCCTCCTCTGCCCCATGGGGCCACGTCAGTGAAGAAGCTGGCATCTACAATCACAATAATAACCCACCTCAGGACATTCCCCACGTCTTTCAGGATACTGTTTGCAGAGTTTCAAATTTAGCTGGCTAGCTCACAGATTCGAGAGAAAAGGGTTGCAGGCATGTGGGGGGAGGTTGGGGCAGCCTCTAAGGCTGAGCTGCACGGCCTTCACCCAGGCAGGCCAGGCTAGCTGGTAGGTCTGTGACATTTGTGCCATCAGAGGTCCCAGGTCTCCTTGCTGGAAAAGGCTCCCCTGCAAGCCTGGCATCTCCCAGTTTCTGGTTAACACACCAGTGCCCAGGGAAGCAGAACACAGTCTCTGTCTTCATTAACTCTTTAGCAAGAAGGGAAGGCTGGAGGGCTTGGGGGGCAGCAGATGCTGGAAAAGTGAGGGTGGCGAGGGATCTGGGAACGCAAAGGACAATCCTGCCACCTCTCAGCTTTGCCGGATCCAGCTACACTTAATGTCTGTACTTTAATCCTGAGATACAGAAAAGCTCTTGTTGGTGGAGTAGATTCTGACACTGCCCCCAGCGTCCTCACCCAGGCTGGGAAAAGCCCCTCACTCCCCTCCTCCCACTTCAGGAGAACGTAGAGAGAAACACAGCAGTGGGTGCGCACAGAGTGGGTAGCCAAGGAGGATTAGAAAATTCTGGGCCCCCAGTCCCTCACACCCTGTCCCCCTACCTCCAAGTCTTGGCGTCTATTCCTTTCCTTATTCCTATGATAAGCCCTTGGCGCTTCTGCACTGAGCCTCCCCGTCCCCGTCACATCTCCAGCTGCACAGCGTCCTAGAAGCTCCGCGCACAGCCAAGCCCTTAGTCCCGGGTCTGTTCCCCTCCCCACCTTTAAACTTGGGCATCCTGAGGCTTTCTCACCTCCTCCCCCTCCCCCCAGGTCCCAGCCCAATCCAGTCTTCTCTCCACCAACTTCCCCTGCCTTGAGCTTGCCCGCTCGGCTTTTCCAAGCCCTCCTGCATCTCTAAGGCTCTCTGGATCCTTCCGGAACAGACTGGACCCCGTGCCCAGGGCCCACTGCGCTAGCTGGAAGACCTAGTGCTAGGCACCTCCCCTCTCTCCCGGCCTCAGTTTACTGTGGTGCACCAGGAGGGAAGCCGGCCTAAAGAGTTCCAACTTGGGGGTCTTCCCCCGCCCCGACGCCCCCCGCCCGCCCGCTCCTGGGCCTCGTAGTCTCACCTGCTCGCGCGGGCCCCGCAGCTTGCAGCGCTCTGCAGGCGGCCGCCTGGACGGCCAAGCT